AGAGAGAGAGAGAGAGGGGGATGAGAGAAATTTATAGAGGGGCATGGAGAGGAGAGAGAGATGGGAGAAATCGGATTATTAGAATTTGGGATGGGGAGGAGAGGCTTCTAGGACCTAGGAGTCCCAATTCAAATAGGATCATTGAGGTGAGAGAAATAATCTGAGTCCTTCATCTCCAAGATTAGCCATCATGATTTAGAGTGAATATTTTGGAACCTTATCCCCTGATATTTGACCTATATCTACTTCTAAATAATTTTGATTTTGTTTCATCATAGTCTTATCTTCTATGACATTCTAGAATAATATAGAATATTCCTCATTACCTTTTTTCTCACATAGGGATAATTAAGAAATAAAATCATGATCAAAATCAAGTTCCCCTTAAATCTCTCACAAAATATTTCATAAGATATTTTTAACTAAAATATTCAATTTCTAAAATTTACCCTTAGGAGTACCATTAAAATTGGGAAACCTTTTAGGCATCCTACTTAGTGGGGCATGTGGCCGATGTGGGCCCCACATCCCACACCTTGTGCACCTCACACATGGGGGGGTTAGGCCTATATCCTCCCACATGGATCCTGAAAGTAGGACAAAGTGAACTAGCACGGTATATGTAATATATAATTTTTCTTTTCTCAGCTGACTAGAACACTTACAGAGGTCCAAATAATACAAAATAAACTCGAATGGAATAAAGAAGAAAAAATAAGTGGATTCTCACTTGCTGCCACTTAATACAACTCTGTTATTTCAAGAACAAAAAATACATAACATTGATTTGGGAACAAGAAACACAAACTGCATAAACAAAAATTAAAGTGCCAAAAGATTACCTCAATTGGACTTGATATATCCCACGAGTGTCTGCTCCTACGATGGCGCACGGAATCAAGGTCTTTCTTACATCTCATAACTTATGAGAAGCTTTGGCTAGAAACCCTTCAATGGTTAGGGCAATGTGGAACAAGAACTATATCTTAAGACTATGTGTATGGGGCATGCCCCTCGAGGCTCTATGGTTGGGGCATGCCCCTCTTTTTTTTCTCGAAATTTTTCTAAGTCTTGTGGGGGGCTAGAGAGATGAGAGATTTAAGAGAGAGAGTGGTGTTAGGCTATTATGAGGAGAGAGATATAACCTTGGTGTAGAGATTTGGGCCCCCACAATGAGTCTATATAGTTTGGGTTTTTAGGATTAGCCATTCTTATGGAGATAAGATATAAACCATTGATCATAGGAGACCTGTGAGGTGAGAGATCTTAACCTTATAATCTATAGATCAACCATCATGATCTAATGGAAGGTGCTAAAACCTTATCCCTCAGCTTCCTTAACTTGATCCCATTAATATTTAGTGTAGAGAAAATTCAATACTCTTTCCTTTTATTTTCATTATCTTATACATGGCACTTTGAAAAGTCAATTAGTCTTTTATTTCACAAACTTCCTTTTCAACTCAATCAACTTGAATGGCATCTTGCATGCCTTAACGAAATAGGAAGGAGGTGCACAAAGTGGGGCGTGCCACCAATGCAGCCTCTAGTGGGCCCCACGCACTCCCCCACGTGCTATATTTAGTGGGGCCCATGGAGTATATTGGGCCCCCATGTATATTAATAAATATAAAATTAATAAAATAAATATTAAAAAATATTTACGTTTTTATTTTTCTCTTTGAATAATTAAATACTGAAATTTCAATTTAAGCCTTTTTATAAATCTGTTTTAAGAAAATAAAATATGCAGAAACTTCTAAATTTTTTTTTTATCAATCTAAAAATCATTTATAATCTAAGTTAATTTGATGGGATTTGCATCCAACAATGTTAAAGACAATGTGAAAATATTGAGGCATTCCATCTTCTACTAGAGACCATGAACCACACTCACTTTCTGAAATTGACCCATACTTCCCATGACCCATAGTCCATCATTGGGGTTCATGATTGGGATATTAAAGCCAACCAATAGGTAAGGGGACACAATCCTAGTCTATTGATTATAGATTCCCCTTAGAGATAAGTCTACGTCACACGGACTGGTGCACACACATCTCAATTTGGTGCATGGGGGTTATCTCTCGTACGTGTACATACAGCACCCTCAATGGTACTTTTTGGTTCAATACGGCTATCATGTGTAGGTGTCGTGTGATGATCTATGAAGAGAATTTGGCCCTTGTCCCTTCAGGCCTACCAATCACAAATAAGGGTCACACTGTCTCTTAGCAAACTACTTTGGGTATCTTCAACCTCATCAAGGGGTAACCTTGCTAACCTTTCTTAGTTGTCCTCTATGCCTAGGTTTCTTAGGGTTTAGAACTCAACTGGCCTAGCTTGTCAAGCCTAGTTTAAGTCTCGACATCAATATTTGCTAACTTTGGTCCCCATTGGAGGTCATTGTTCCACTATAGTAAAAGTGGTTACAAGCTCTCATAGGGCCTTTAAACAACTACAAAATCCAAACAGGTCCCACCCATTTTATAATAAAATCTGAAATTTCAGAAATACCCTTGTTATCAAAAAATTAATAAAATACCCTTAAGGGATTTTTACACATTTAAAAATAATTTTAAAATTCTAAAAAAATCCAAAAATCAAATTAACAGATTTTTAATTGAAGTTAATATTTCTGAAGTCCTTAAAAAATTTAAAACATTTAGAAATGCTAAAGAGAAGTGGATTGGTACCTAATAGGTAAAAAATAAGTGAATCTCAGTGTACTCCACTTATACCCGAGTCCATGTCCCTCTATTGTATTCTCAAACAAACTCAATAAGACCCATGACCCACAGTCAAGTGCAGGGGCTCATGATTAGCCTATCAAAGTTGGCCAATAAACAGTGGAACCATAGTCCTAGTATATGGATTATAGATTCCCCTTTAAGAGCTAGTAAAAAATGCAAATATTACTATAGTGCAAGGGAGCTCTCTCTATGCACATGTACATGTGTCCCTCTATAAAGGGTTGCTTCTTAAATGCGGCTGTCGTTTGTACATGCCATGCGAAAGTTTTGTTGAAAATTTGGCCCTCGCTCTCACAAGCCCTTCCTCCGCACATAGGAGACCACACAACTCTCTTAGCCTAAAACAATGTCCCTGAGCATCTCTCTGACCTCAGCAAGGATTACCTGCAATAAACCCTCAATAGTAGTGCCTATGCTCAACGGTAAGGGTTTTGAACATGACTTGGGTTATAAATTGCCCAACCTTAGGTCAAATCAAACACATACACTCCTACTGAAGTGTAGAATCCACTATACTTATTTTAAATACATGCTTCTCGAACTTTAAAGGCCACAAAACCCAAAACATTCTAGAAGCACTTTGAATTTAACTTTCCCCCCAAATTTGGTGTGCATGTGCATCTAACCACATAATGTCACATAAGATAGGTGGTTATGTGCATATTCCATACAGGCTTAGAGTTCCAAATATAATTTCAAGCCGTATGCCCTTTCTAAAAGCTCTCCCACATGTGCACTCAACCACTAATCCATCACAACATCTGCTCAAAATAATTTCATAATTTTCACAAGATATACAAAAATCTCACAAAATAGAGCACATGCCACTATAGTTGAAATTATAAAGGGGTCCTACGATGGGGTCGATGTCACCCCACGTCATCTCCACATGGGACTAACGTGGATCCCACATGGTACCCATTGGCCAACTGGGTGTCATGTGTGGGCCCCTAGTGTCTTGTCTTTGATTGCCATTAGGTCAAAACAAATACCAAAAACTCCATTTATGGCTAAGAAAAATAAAAAAATTGTAAAAAATTCCAAAAATTTACCCAAGCATATTCTAGCAATATAACACAATTTGCATCATTATCATCAAAATCATCATCCTCAGATCCTTTTGCTAAACTATTCGAGGTTGGCTACACGAATCCTGATGTACCATTTTGTTCTAACAAGGGCCATACCCTCACTGAGGCCATAAGTTCCCATATCTTTTCTCACTACTTCCAATCATATCCTTTTAGGCATACCCGTTGTCCTTTTTTAGTCTTCCACTTGAACTAACTCGCACCTCCTGATAGGTGTTGTACTGGGTCTATGCTACACATGGCCAACCCACCTAAGTTTATTTTCTTTTATTTTATCATATATTGGTGCCACACCTAAGTTTTTTCGAATTCTATCCATTTTTATCTTACCACTCATCCATCACAACATCCTCATCTTAACCAGACTCATTTTATAGGCAAGTTGCTCTTGACCGCCCAACATTCTGCCTCATAGAGCAAGGCTGGTCTTATAGCTTCGTATAGAACTTGCCCTTCAGCTTCATTGGTATGTGGCGATCGCATAAAACTCAGGTTGCATATCTTCATTTCGCTTACTCAACTCTAATTCTATGTACGACATCTTCAGTCTCTTCATTTTCTTGGATTATTGACCCAAGATATCGAAAGCATGCTCTTTGTGGTATTTCTTGACCGTCAATCTTAACCACTTCCTCATCTCTCTTATTATTTCTCAGCTTGCATGCTATATACTTTGTCTTTGTCCAACTAATTTTAAAACCTTTATATTCTAGAGCATCTCTCCAAAGCTTTAACTTTGTGCCGACGTTGATTCGGGTCTCATCGATCAAAATTATATCGTCCGCGAGCAACATACATCACGTACCTCATCTTGTAGGTGCCTAGTTCGTCATCCATAATGGGGGAAATTAGGATCCTATAGAAATGAATTGTGCATCAGAGCACTCCACTTGACTACACCCTGAATCCAAATCCACCTTAGAATAACGTAACAAACCCACAGGGGCTCATGCCTTTCTTATCAAAGTAAATCCAATATGTGGCTCGGGACTCTCAAGTTGTATAGGATTATAGGTGCACCCCCGAGGACATGCATTTTAGTAGATGTGGGGGTACTCTCTAGGCATATGTGCATATCTCTTCCTAGTGGATCAGCTATGGAAGAGTGGATCAGCTATGGAAGAATGGCTTTTCATTTGTGACTATACATGTGCATGCCCTGAGAAGGTTACAAGGTCAGGGACATAGGCTTATGTTCTCTCAAACCCTTAACCTTCTCTTACGGCGCTATGATACCCAAAAATATTCGAGCTCATATCACCACCAATCAATCACAGCCATTCTCACACACAATTCCCTGGCCATCATATAGTCATGAGGCATTAATCAAAACAACCCTGACTAGAGTAACCGTCATTCCTCTAGGTGCCTCTCAAACGCACACCTGCCTCATGACACTCGGGTTTATGTGACTTTTGGTCCTATGTGCCAAGATCCTAGAGTTGCATTGCTCTCGTTCACTCCCATTGTGATCAAGAGCTATAAACATACTTTGTTCAAGGCGTTGAAAGGCCATAACTCGAATACATACCCTCTACAATCAATTCAGCCAATATTCTAACCTTTTAAACTGGAAAATAGCCACAAAACAAGCAAAGTTCACAAACCTGGAAGTTGGAGGGAGGCTGAAGCCCATATTCTTTGCATCAGAAAAATCCAAGAAATTTACGAACATTCCTTGATGCTACCATGAAACCTCTTGGGAAATTCCGCCTCAAATATAAAATCTTGGTAAAAGTTCTTAAATGTATGCGATGATTTACCAGTGATGCTTGTAACTATCGGTAATTAGATTCTTGTCTTTACCTATGCTAATTCACGAATAAATTTGACAAATGTTTATGCTTTTCCTAAACCAAGTGGCCTGTAATGTGCTACATAGGTTCCATTTTATACTGAATCTCGCTTATTATTCTCTTTATTATTATTTTTTTCCATGCAATATGTACATAGGCAGATACTTAAATGTTACCTACTACTAAGAAGTTGTTCTATCTTTGGTTGATAAAATTATACAATCATGTTCTTAAACTAATCAACAGAAAGACAGATTTATCTTAAAAATGAATTGACCTGCAACTGCTGCTGTTGAAGCGGTTAAGTTTAGGATGCTCCTCTTTGTATTTATATTGAATTTTATCAGCAGGTCATCTCATGTCCCTAATCATGTACCTGTCCTTGGTTTACTAGAATCTTATCCTAATTTCTGTACTAGCTTTATGATGTGGATTAATACTCGTGCAACTAATTTTCTTTTTTGTTTCTGGCATGAATCAATTGACCTTGTTTTCCTTTTAACTGTTGCAGCCTCGACTCTATGTTGGACGAGGATTGCAAGAAAGCATGTTTTCCGTTGTGAAGTAAGATTTGATAATTTCGTATATTTCCCTATCACCAATCCCATTATAACTTGTTTTATGTATTTTCCATTCTTGCAGGTACACATTTTTCTGGATGCTATTGTTGATAAGCAAATTATTGTTTAGCTATTATTTTGAGGTAATTATTTTCTATTACTGGATTACATAATAGACCAAGCTCTGGATCAAAATATTTCACCACTGAAGAATGGAAATATTCAGCAATATTCAATAAGAAATTGTGTAAAAAATAGATAACAAAAAGATATAACTTCTTTCTAAGTGGATATTTATAAGATATTGAGCCTCATATAAACTTGATAATGTGGAAACTAATGTTAGGATAAGTGCATGGCATTCTAAATTACGCGAATAAAGCATTTATTTTGTTGAAATTTGCAGATTAAACCTTTAATGGAACCTACAAAGCAAATCATGGAAATGAGTGTAAGCAAGTACGACTGGCATGAATTTTTTCCAAAAGGTGATTACCTCTAAATTTGAAATGTATGTTTACTCAGTTATGCCAACAGGGAACTAAATGAACTTGCATTTTCATTCAATGCAGTGAAAAATGTTTTTACTCAGTTGTACCAACAGGGAACTAAATGAACTTGCATTTTCATTCAATGCAGTGAAAAACAATGCCGGTGCCATACTTGCCATTTGGGCTCCTGTTATATTGGTGAGTCCTTTTGTCTTTGTTACACTTATAAACTGGACAGATTGAGCCCTCAATGAAAGAGAAAAAAATTCATGCTGTGGATTCTGAATATAATCTCTCTCCTTTTCACGGAGTCTTGTTTATGAACTATGTTTCAAATGTCATACAGGTATACTTTATGGACACTCAAATATGGTATGCATTTTTCTGCACTATATTTGGTGGGATTTGTGGTGCCTTCCGGCACCTTGGTGAGGTGAGCCTCGTACTTCATGTGCAGGGAGATTTGCTACTTGGTCATTATACTTCCGGGTTTAGCTTTATTTTTAACTAATTTGTAAACTCAGATACGTACAATGGGGGCACTAAGGACTAGATTCCAGTCTTTGCCAGGTGCTTTCAATGCCTGCCTTATGCCGACCACTTCAAACAAAGATCACAAGAAAAATGTGGGATGCTTTTTCCTGAAATGTTCTCCGAAGGTTGATGGGCTCCTTTGATAATTTTCACATAAATAAGGGCTTTTCAGTTATGAACTCCTGCAACAGGTTTTTAGCTTGACATAGTTTCTCTGCAGGTATCTGGTTGTTCTGAAAATGATGGTGCCAAATTCGCGCTTGTGTGGAATCAAATAATCAGCAGTCTCCGTTCAGAAGACCTTATAAGCAACATGTAACTTCAAATCCAGTACAAATTTTTCATAATTTTTTTTAGTTAATATATGATGGGGTTTCTGAAAGGAATGGCTATGTGAAACTCAAGGTATTAAATACAAAATAGTTTTTTGCTTTTATTCAATATACTTGAATTTCATTTACATGGGCCACTATATGCTGTTGTAAACCAAAATTAATGCCTTAAATACAACCTAGGATCTTTACTTTAACTACCCAAGTAAATGAAAAAAATTTAGGAGCAATAAACAATCATTCACAAGACTTTTGAATATAATGTATATTTCTGAAAATTCGCTGAAGAATATGAAATATGACTGAAGAATAATTAAATCTACTGCAAAGACTTACTAAATGTTGCTTGGAGTTACCTTCACAAGTCTTGATACACCCTACACTTGATTCCCTAAGCGATGGCGCACTTTTTGTCCCTTTTGATCTTGCTGGAATTTCAAAGATGGCAATATCTCTTACTTGAGAGTTTTAGAGAGCATAGAAACCTAACTAGGGTTTGTAGGAACCCTTAAGAACAAATGAGGGCTGGGCTAGACCCTTTTGTTCTCCAAACAGCAAAACTCTAATTAGGGTTTCAATGTGCCACCCTTGTCTTATCAAATTTTAGGTGGCATGACCCTTTTTGGAAGGGGGAAGAGATAAAAACATACTTTTTAATGAGAGAGAGAGAGAGGGAGAGAGGTGGTGCATGGAGGAGAGAGAAATATGTATATTTAAATAAAAAGAATTCCTTCTCCTATTTCGATTTGAATTCCTTCATTAGGTATTGCCTATCCAATGACAACTTGACCAATAGGAACTTAGAAAATCTGTGGGTGAGAGAATAGATCTGAGCCATCCATCCCGCAAATCATCCATCATGATTTTAGGAGGATTATTAGAAACTTTATCCCCTTTTAATTTGAACCAAATCCAACTTCTATTTAAATTAGAATTATAATCAATCCAAAACTTCCTAATATCTTTCCAAAATCTATGGGAAGTCAAAATAATAAGAATTTTGGTCAAACCAAACTTCTAATTAAAACAATCTTTTTAAAACATAAATATCACTTGAATAGGAATTAAATCTTTTTTATTTTAAAATATTTCTATTTAACTAAAACTATTAATTATAAGTGATAGATAAACAAAAAACATGGAGTGTTCCTCCCAAGGGACTTTATGTGGGCCTCAAAAGGCTACATGTCTCACTCATGGGTGACACACACATATAGAGGCTGGATCCTAGGTCCCCATATATGCCCTTCGTAGTTCTGAAAATTTCGAAACTACCATTTTTAATGAATTTACAGCATAAATAAATTTTTAAAATTCTGGAAAAATTTATAAAAATCAAAAAAATATTTCATATACCAAAATAAAATATTTTAGAAGTGGACTGGTACCATTGGGCCAATATTAGCTGCAAAAAAGGGCACTCCACTTGACCTAAGAACCATGATCCACTATTATTTTTTTATCCAGCCCAACAAAGGCCCATGACCCACAGTCTCAATGCATGGGCTCATGATTGACTTGTCAAAGTTGGATAATAAACAGTGGAACTGTGATCCTAAAATGTGGATTACAGCTTCTTTTAAGAACAAGTCCAACACTTGCAACTACAGTTCAAATGGGGCTCTCTCTATGTAGATGTACACGTGTCCCTCTATAGGGCTGCTTTCAAGTAATGCGGTTGTTAGGTATACATGCCATGTGGAAGTTAATGCCCTTGCTCTCACAAGCTTACAACCACACACAAGAGACCACACAGTTCTCTTGGCTTACAAATATCATTTCTAGGCATCTCTCCGACTTCAACAAGGGTTGACATAAACCCTTCTCTGTATACCACATGCCCAAAGGTAAGGGCTTTGGACATAACTGGAGCCATAAACTTCCCGACTGATGGTCACTTAACACACACACTCCCACTGAAGCGCATATTCCGCAATAAATTATGATTTTCATAAGCTTTCTAGACCTTTAAAGGCCACAAAACCCAACAGTTTTCTTAAATTTTCTTGCCTCTCAGGGAGATGGATCTTTTGAATGTACCATATTCATTGGAGTTAAGTTCCAACCTCGCTCATTGGCCACTATTTCTGATTGCTCCCAAGGTAATTTCTACAGATAGAGATCTTTCCACTATTTTTCATATATTTTTTGTTCTGAAGATCTTTTAATGTTTGAATCAGTTCCAAGCTGTGGTGGACCTAGCTAAGAATTTTATTGGGAAAGATAAGGAACTCTACAGGAAAATTAGAAAGGATGCTTACATGTTCTGTGCTGTGAAGGAGAGCTTTGAATCTTTGAAGTGTATCCTTGACATCCTTGTTGTGGGTAAACGGGAAAGAAGGTGCAAAGTCTCATTTCACTGTCTTCTAGTTTTCAAGATGCCTTTTCCTCACAGACATATATATGTATGCATAACAATATATTCATGTGTGTGTCTTCTCACATAAACACATAGTCCTTATTCTTGACTACATCTATTAACAGAAATTAAACTTTATCCCTTGAATATAAGAATACACACTGCATTTCTTCTCAATTTCATTATCCTAAGCTTATTTCTGCATCACTTTTTGTGGGTTGCAGCATTGTTTATTACATAATACATGAAGTTGAAGCAAGTATTAATAGATCAAGCCTCCTGAGTGATTTTAAAATTTCTGAGCTTCCACTTCTATGCTCTACAGTTGTTCAGCTCGTTGATTTTCTGGTAGTGCCTATAATTGAGCCCTTTTCACAATGAAGCATGTTCTGCTTTTTGATAACTCCAAGCTTCACAAACCCTGACTTTCAGTTAATTTTCTCAGTTTGAAAACAAGGAATCCTCTCGAGATACAGTAATCAAACTGCTGCAGGATGTTGTTGAAATTGTTGCCAGGGATATGATGGTAAATGGGCCCAGGTTAGAGACATTATAAATGTTCAAATTTTTAATGTAGTGAGTGATATAAGGTATATCTTAATAAATCTAAAATATCATTTATCTCAGTATTGGTGACTCATTTTCTTCCTCTGAGTCTGAACTGATGCATGAGGTCCCTACGATGCTGAATGGAGTAATTGAAGCTCCTCTATTTTTATCGATGGATCCCCCTGCCATTTGTTTTCCGCTGCCAGCTGTTGGCTCTTTAAAGAAGCAGGTTATTTTTCATTATTTGTATGTTTACTCTATTTATGTGTCCGTACAACTTTGGCTAACTATGTACATTGTTGGTGTAGGTCAAGCGTCTACGATTGTTGCTTAGTGTCAATGAGTCTGCAATGGATGTCCCCTCGAACTTGGAAGCTCGACGGCGCTTATCTTTCTTTGCGACTTCTCTCTTTATGGACATGCCCACAGCACCCAAAGTTCGTAATATGCTCTCATTCAGGTTCGTTTGCTTTTCATCTATGCATAGGCACAATACTTAGCGCTGAGGCCCATTTTCTATAAATCCTTAAGGATGTAAGATAAATTTAGTTAATTTACCAAAGAGAATATCTATCTTTTTATATTAAGTGGGAATGTGACCCTTTAATTCTTGTGACAAGTGTCATTTCTAATGTCCATTTTGTGGGCTTACTTTTTATATTATACTAATTCTATTAAGTTTTATTATAAGTTTGCCCTCTCTATCTTGATTCTCTCTTGTATAAATCTCTTTCTGCCTCCTTTGTCTTCGACGTACCTATTTTGTTTCCTACTATTTTGTCTTCTTGATTATATGTATATAGGAAAAACCTAAAAAACGTCTATAGGCAAAATGCGACGGTGTTTCGCCACCATCACGGACTTGCTATGTCTGTGGCAGTTCATTGAACAGACCCGCAATGGACGGCGCACCGTTCGTTGCGGTTCCGCATGTGTTTTTGACAGTCACGGACGTAGCATGTCCGTGATGGTACCGCCACAGACATGTTAGGTCTGTGGCAGTCGAAAAATGCACGCCACCTGATTTTTTCAGACATGATAGGCCTATGGGCGAAAATATTGTTCATTTTCGCACATAAGC